AGAGAGAGAGAGAGAGAGAGAGAGAGAGAGAGAGAGACGATAGAAACTGGCCGCACACTGCCCACCGATCTGCCACACAACGCACACCACCACGGACCGCGTCCACCTACGCACAAGCGCACACATCTCTCGCCATGCACGGTCGCAGCAGTAAGTCGATGCTCGCCCTCACCAGGATCGCTCCTTTGCGTACCTTTGTATGCCTCTCTCCCCATGCACGGTCGCGTTTGATTGATTGATTCCGGATCTGGGCTAGATTCAGCTTGATCCTACAAGGATCATCTTCTGTTATCACTGATAACAGGTCGGTTGCCGATTCGTCGGTTTACGATTCAACTCCAATTCACTCCTGCCACTCAACCTAAAGGCTTTAGCCTTGTGATTTGAAATGTTTTGTTGTGTTTTCACCCGGACTTTATTTGAATGGCCATTTAAAGAAAAGTWCTGAGTATTTTATTTTGAGGAGTTGCACAAGAGTGAGGCTTGTATGGCTAAAAGCAAGGGGTGTGAGTGCAGAGAATGGTTGGAGATGACCCCGTGTAGTGCATGGACTTTGTGGTTGGATCTTTGATGTGATTGCAGGTATGTTTGGTGATTCGGACTTTGGATTTGACTGCCTGCGCTCACATGCATATGTATATGGTTGAGAGGAGCCCCACTGTGACTGTGAGAAGTGATCGTCCTATATTAATAACCCTTATTTACATATCTATATACTTATGATTTGATTGTTCGCATGACCTATCGCGGCCCTTCGTAAGGGTTAGGCAAATTATGCGTTGAGAGAAAACGGAGATCCTCTTTTATCCTTTGCTTTTTAGAGTTCTTATAGTTGGACGTTGATGTCCGTGGCAGCCGTCAAAGTCAAACCCCTTGCCTTAGCTCCAAGCCCTAGATGATGGAGCTGGTCTCCAGGGCAATAAGAGACGATTGCCACCATAGGTATGGACCTGTGTACCACCCACTCTCCGCAGGGTGCAGAAGAGGGTGTGGTTCTCAACCGCCCTTGGCGGTTGTCCAGGGTCGAGACATTAACCCTCAAGGCGCGTGTCAGCCGACACTTGAGTGTTGAATGCGACCCTCAAGATTAACGAGGACCGCATGAATATGCGTACTACATAGTACGCCATCAATGCGATCGCTTGCGTACGCTTGCACTGCGAGTCGATATGAGTTAGCCCTGCGTTCGCGCGGTTTTATACTAAGTCTCGCGCGCGACGCCTATCCGATTTCCGCATCGGAAAGTTATGGGATAGCTACTAAGGAACTAGGTGTGTTGTCGCATTGTTTGTTCAGTGTCGTTTTGTACATGGATATGTATACATATGTGTGTGTGTTTTTATTTTTATGTTCTATATAATGGTGTGTGCGTGGCGTGTGGGATACGTCCTGGTCGACCGACGACGGGTCACGCTTGGGACTTCAGCCCCCCAGGATGCCGGTTCGCATGCGGGTTCGATAGAGGCGTACTACCGCGCGTACCCCCTATGCTACAACGAACGAGAAACGCCCTCGGCTGGCCCACCTCTACAATTGCAACTGATCAACTTTTGTACTGTGGACTGGTAGCTCGGCGGGGATACGCCCACCGAAGGGAGGTGACAACTCCCGTAAGGTGGAGGTAAGTCGTGCCTCGCGTAGGCCCTATTCTGTCGTAGGGGCTCGCGAGAGGTATGGCTGGCGCACTCGGCCGGAGCGGCTTGCGGAAGCTCCATGTATGTATTCGCGACGAAGGAACAGACCAACTCCTGCGTGACGTGGTTGGGAGTGTCCCGCGCCGCCCTTGTGCGGTGCCGGATCGATGCGCTTGACAACGGGGTTTGCAGATTCACTTCCTGATCGATTATATTGTTTATCCTATC